ATACTCATATGTAGAGCAGCAGGGAACTGCTATGCCGTTTCTGTAGATGATGTCCCACAGGCTGTGAAAAGTTTGGAATGTGGTAAGATTGCTGGAATTGGTGTAATCAGCCATGAAATGCTCAAAGCAATAAGTGAACAACGCACATGTCGGCTTACACGTGTCTATCTGCAATGGCTACGCGGAAAACACCAGCGAAGTGTAGAACGGGAGTTGTGGACCCGTGTTGAAGAATGGAGACCATAGGGATTGCACCAGTTATCGGGGCATTAACTTATTGAGCCTTCCATACAGCTTACACACCATGCTAGGAAGGAGGTGCCACGGAATAAAGGGATCCAAGGTACAAGAGCAGTGTGGCTTCCAGCTTGGTCGAAGCACATCTTACCATATGTTCGCCCCACTCCAGGCTGCTGAGAAATTCTGGGAGTTCCCTCTTCCAGTTTACCTAGAGAAATCTTATGAACGGATCCATGATCTGAAAGAAAAAGCGGTTATGGAAAATGAAGATGAAGAAGCATGTGGAAAATATGGGCTGCAGAGAAAATAGCACTTGCCAGTAGGTGCAGTTCTTCCTCGCTGCAGTCAGGCGGACTGAAGAACGGGGTTGTAGTATCCCTGTTATAGGGAGACTATACGGAGTTCTCCAGTTATCTCCTTATCGAGCCTCCGAGATAAAGTCAACGCAAAGGCGTTGGAAGGTAACTGCCACGGCGTAGTTGACTAGAAAATCCAAAAAGATCAGTGTGGTCTTAGGTTAGCCTTAGGCACCGTTGATCGAATTTTCGAATACGTCAGAGAAGATGTGGGAGTTCGCTTTTCTTCTTTATATGTGTATGTGTGGAGAAGGATTGTAACTGGACCAGGCGCAACAGACTGTTGGTGCTCCTGCAAACATTCCAGATCGACGGCCAATTGCTGCTGGCCATCCAATCGCAATATTCTGATAGCAGGTGCTGCGTCAGAGTTAATGGCGTTAAGTCGAGACCTTTCAGCGTTGACACTGGTTTCCGACAAGGCGGCGTTTTGTCCCCCTCCCGTTCTGCATTGACGGAATAGTCAGAAGCAGCAAGATGTAGATGATGTTGACACGAGAA